GGGTAAGGGGCGGGGGGGGGGGTGGGGGGGGGGGGGGGGGAGACAGAGAGAGAGAGAGAGAGAGAGAGAGAGAGAGAGAGATGAATACGGACGGGAGAAACGACGGGCACGTAAATGTTGAATCCATGGGCAGCAGTAACATTGATGCAAATAATAATTACGTTTCGGTGAAAGATCAGAGACAGTAAATGTGCCTCTGCCAACATACGCTCGGGAAATAGGTGAAACCGCATGATTGTGTATATAAAATTAAGCAGCTTAAATTGAATGAAATTACGCATATCTCTCTCGCTCTCCATCTCCCTTTTCTTTGCATCATCTTATTCTTCTTCTTCTCTTCCTCACTCTCCTTCTCCTACTAACAATTTTATTAAATAATTATAGTTTAAATGTATCTTGCTTTAAGGCTTTTGTATAATAGAGTCAAGCAACAAACCGCTCATACTTGCATTATATTTATAAACAATATTTGATTATCCTTATAATATTCTTCCTTCTATTAAGGTGTGCACAACAATAAATGATGCGTAAGCTTGATTATCACTTAATATCGTATGAAAAGCGAAATTAAAATATATGCAGGTGTTTTTATTTTATTGGATATACTTTTATTTACAATTATACAATGTAATATGACAATATTATCGGTAAAAACAATATTATTATTTATAATTGTAAAAAAATAGTGTTTTAGCATAGGGATAAGCATAGCAACACGTTACTTACACTTGTTAATGGAAATTCGCATAGCTAATTGAAATTCTCCAATTAATTGGTTAAAAAAATCGTGTCGTATTGAAAAAATTTTTATTTCTTGTCAAAACGATGGAATGAGCAATGCATAAAAATTGTTTATAAAAATTGATCACTTAAAATGTCACGTTTAATAATATTATATTAATAATTGAGGCACGCGTAGTATGAGAAAAAATTCCATTTGTACACTTATCCCACTTAGGTAAAGATAATTTAAATCATTTAGTTGAACTTCCAACATTCAGTGCGTACCTCGTATGTGATCATCATACCGATAATCAAAGGAAAGTGGCACAATGACGGTCTTTTAAGCATAAAAGCAAACATTTCGTCGACATTAAAAAACCATCTTTCGTAAATCATCATTTTATTCAATCGTTTATTATCGTCGTTGCTATAAACGCTCTTGTGAATTCCTTTCACATCGAGAACGACTGGCAGATGAAAATAAAAAATAAAAAAATTAAAAAATTCACAAATAATTGTCATTGCACAGGACACTACAATTCAATTTCCAATTGATACTTTTGGTGAATTTAAACGTGTAATTTACATCGTGCAGCTTCAATCGGCCAGAAAAGTACATTAAATTATTCATGAATCTTAGCTGGCAACGTTTTTCCAATGAATAGTCATGAATTTGTAAAGATAAAATATTGCTGGATAAACGTAAAGATATTAGAGCTAATAGAGCAAACAATAGTGGATTCTTAAAGTTTCGAAGCTATTTAATAATAATAAAACTTTATCAAAATCCTACTACATTGAAAATCTCGAGAATGACTGACTAAATATCTCGACGTTAAACGATCTTTTCTACTTTTTTTCATCACACACCATGGACGATTCATGGTCACGATATTGCCACCCACTGGCCCATCCATACAACATCTACAACTATACAATTATTAATAATAGTAAGTCTACGTACGACGTTATCCATGGATATTACTTTGGAATGAGGAGGGCAGTATCGGCTGAGGAGTTTGTCCATTGAGACTGACATTCCCGGAAGGTGGTACGGGCCGTGGGAGAGCTGTCTGGCGGTGAGGGTGACGGCGTGGTAGGGAGAGGGGATGCGGAGACTCGACGTAGAAGGAAAACGACGTCGCTATGTAATAAAAGAAAAGGAGTTGATATGGAGAGAGGGAGCGGGAGGGGGGCAGTGCAATGTGGCCAGGGGACTCCAATGTGAGTGCATAATATATAAACCACGGCAAAGGCAACCGCCGTCGTGCACGCTTATTAAAAATACATATAACGCGGGCGCTGGTCCATACGTTGTAATGCGCGTACGAGTACTGACGCACGCAACAGTCGCGACACGAGGGAAGCACCGACCAAGAACTTCGTGCCTCCCCCTTCCTCCTTATCCGCCTACCATCGCCACCGACCACAACTATCCCCCCGTTATGGTCGCGAAATCAATAAGGCCGATTTACAGGAAGAGGAGCCGACTGGTACGCAGCAATTGAGTTCCGCTCGAGTCGCGCCTAATGCGTGGAGGAAAGAGACGACGGGCCCGTCATCGGCATCCTCGTGGTCAGTGAGAGACAATGAGTCTCCGAGACACGGTTCGCGCTAACCCTATGAAAGAAGCTCGGAAGCTTGTTTTTACTCGGCGATAATCTATAATCTTATCGAACTTTCGTCATGCAGCTCGAAGAAGTTGGCGAGTATCCGTTTCCGAGGTAGCCGTCATCGGTGGATCCGGAAGGCAGGGAGATGTAGGCCAACGTAGAATCGTCGCCAAGGCAAATTGGAGGAAAATGCCGTGCGCCGCTAATGATATGTCGATTATGGCAATGCGATTCCTCGTTGTGACTGCCTGCTCGGCTTTCTCGCCTTTGTCGCGTCGGCTCTTCCACTCCCACATCCCGCTCCCTCGCACGCGCGTCTCAAATCCGCGGGGATTTACGATGGCATTGGGCGTCTCGCTCTCTTGAATCCCCGTGTGTTAAGGATGCGTGCCGTCTTGTGCCTCCCCCTTACGCTCCGCATCGGACTCCGAAGTGGCACTTGGCTCCCGTGGACGCGATAAAAAATAATTAATCTCTCCGCTCGGCGTGCATTCGCTTTCTTCGCCGCTTTTACCAGCGACTTTACCAGGTATGCTATCCAGCTCCGCAGCACCTCCGCGGCTCCGAGGACGAGACACGCCGTACGCTCGGCACTCGGCAAGCTCCACTGACTCGAAGAGTAATCACCGCAATTAGGGAAATGCGCTTGATAGCCGTGTATATTTCGTGGTCGTGTGGAAGTGTTTTCGGTGGAGGAGGCGGGGGATGAGGCAAGCGTTATTTCTCCGTGCGCGGAGAAATTGGGCCCTAGGACACTCGACTATCCGGCAGTGATTTCGAATCGTCGTTATATGGGAGACTTTAATTGCATGGCCGTTCGCTCCTCGAGTAGTAATAATTTAGCGAGAGGAGCTACCGTTAAATGCGCATAGCCACTATCTCATTGGGGTTCGGCGAATCGCGTATTTAAATGCTTTTATATGGGAGGCGTAAAGCAGAGTGAATTCGAGAATTTACATGGGTTTTGGATTATTGGTGGCCCATTAAAGTCGAGCGATTAAAATAATACGACGATCGGCCAATTCATTCAAGGCGCTTCGCTGAATTATCTTCTCACCGACGCATTATCGGGTTAATTCGTCCGAGTGTCGTCCGGTGATCAATTACATTATTATTATTCAACTTTATTAAGATTTAAATAAAACGATTGATACTGGTGCATGGCTATTCAGCACGTAGCTACATAGATACGTAGCAGGCCGTAATGAGACTTTGTACTATGATGAGATAGTTGAGATTCTCACTGTTGTCGTTTATCTCTTTAATAATGAAACGAAACCAATTGAAATAACGAACGAACGAACGAACGAACGAACGAATAAACAACTAAAAAAATATTATATTTTATTCTGTGGAATAATATCAGGAATGTTGACTCGTGAGAAGAACGAAGACATAAATAAGCATTGTTATACGCGGTATAATTTTGGTGTTTCCGTGGGGTTCTGTATTTTATAGAATCTCCGAGCAGAGATGCCATTTTCCTTTCACATTCTTCGATAAAGTCGAGGTGAAGAAATGTATGGCTCTGGACTTTCAGTATCGATGAAAAAGGGAAAATTCCCTACAAAGCGATTAAAAGGTATGTAGGAAGTGGCTTGGTTCTAAAAACTTCCCGTCTCATCGATCAAAATGTGTAAACGCCGGTGACAATAGCGGATCGCTTTCTCCTCTTGTACATTATTCATCGACCCAATGAATAAACCATCGCACTCGTGGGCTCGCACTTCATCATCCCCATCTTGGAATTATAAAAATTCGTGGCTCTCGCTGGCGTCGAATGCGCATCGAATATCGCGATACCGAAGAAAAGAACCTGCCTCCTGATATCCGATGACGCGATGTAAGGTGCGTGAAAGCCCCGACTACCGAGCAACGCAAGGATCCCACTTGCGCGTTGAGTCCACTCATTGAAAGTGTAGAAAGAAAAAAAGAAAGAAGAGAAAGGAAGAAAAAGCAATAGAAATAATGGAAGAAAAAACAAACAAATAAACTCCACTTGGGGCGTTGGTCGAAAAAGGACCTGTAATTCCCGTTCCCCCTCGGACGCCTAAACATCGTATTATCTGTCCTTACGGTCGCTGGGCGATATCTGCCACGGAAACGCGGGCCCCGCCTTCTCTGGGGCGGCCGGTGGTGGTCCCGGGAGAACGTCCGTCGGACTTTCGGAAAAGTCGCAGTGGCCGCGAGCGCGGTTTCCTCCTCCCCCGCCCCTACCACCCCCTTGCCATCGCGCAGCTGGTCGAGACGAGTCGGGCCGCCACCATCGAAGGAGCGCGCAGCCCGCGCCACCCGAGGTGCGTTTGTCCGCCCGGCTTGCCCACCTTTCCATTATTATTATTTTCTTCTACCCCATGGCCGTCCACCCCCCGCTGAATGGGCCCGCTACGGAGCTCTGGTGGCCCTCGCTCCCAGGCCCCTCCTCGCCCCCTGTAATAATTTTCTAACGAGAACTCGGCTTCGCTTACCAAGGTCGCCCCTACGACCTCTGTCGATTTCTCCTTCCGAGCACTGGGCGATGCGCGCGAGGCCCACTTTATTACTCGACTCCTCGGAGACCCGCTTGCGAGACCCTCTTTCCCCGTGCAGCCAATTCGCGTCTAACGGTCGCTCAGCCTGCAATTAATCGACTAATTGCGCGAGAGCTAACGGTTACTTCGACGCGCGCACCTGTCGCTACGAGATTGCCCAGATGGCCGATATTGCCGCCCGAATCGGCCAATCGATCCGACTAGCTTCTGCTCGCGCTATTTGCAACGTAAAAATCCTAAACGACGATAACGAGTGAAAATGCATCGCCAACCAATTAACCGCCCGTGCAACGAGTCGCTAAGCGGCCGTGATCCAGCCTCCGAGAGATTCTGAAGACAATGTTATCGCGATGAACTCGAGGAAGTGCGGAAAGTTGGAGAATTATAAGCGCCCCGGGATCGTATTATTGGCCTTCCGCGAGTTCTGTTTTTTTTTTTTTTTTTTTTTTTTTTTTTTTTTTTAAGTATACAGAGCCTTTTCGTCTTTATTTAAGCCTCTGTCTCCGTCTAAGCCGGCACAGTCAATTTACTACGAGGGACGTCCCCACCACTCATCTTCAAACATTTCAATTCATCGGCTCTCTCTCTCTCTCTCTCTCTCTTTATCTCGTGGTCCGGCCGACCCGTCACCTGGAGACCCCATTTCAAGAGCTTCCGCCCTTACGAGATACCCGATCATTTTCTCGCTCGCACCCCCGGGTGAAGCTGGGGAGGCGTATTTACGCGCAAAGAAAGGATGATGAGGGGCAGGAGGGAGGGATGAGAGAATGCGCCGATCGGCGAATGCCCTTTCAACGCTTACTGCAAGCTCGGACAAGCCGCGGGGGACGATTTCCGCTACATGACCCTTATTCCTCGTCCTCTCTTTTCGCCAGAGCACGTAGGGCATTGCGTTTCGTCTCGACGAGAGTCGTACGCGAGACTCGCACCGGCAAACGCGAACGACATCGAATAACGTCAAAGTCGACTCTCCTATGGTTCCTCTCGCTTTAACCCCGTACTGCCATATACCTCTGACACCCTTACCCCCCTCCCATCATCCCCTTTCATCGCCCAACTAACAGCTCTACCATATCGCAAGCTGAGGACAATGTGTGAGGCACGCGTCGAGGTTGCCAATCGGGATCGCTCTCCTCTTCTCTCGCTCCTCTTTATCGGCCCCGGGCTAATAATCCTTGATGTATTTGTTCTTCGTAACTGGTGACTCATCCATCAAATCACTAAGGATTCTCAATTCAAGGCCGGAACAAGTGAACTCTAGAATTTTTATTCTAGAGTGACCTCCTAATCGATTACCATATACTTTGGCAGCTTCGCAATTCGACCCCCAAAGTCGTTGACTCGTTGAACATTCGTCAAACTTCGGACTATGTATCGTTTTTTTGTACCGCATTGAAAAATCTCTAGCCTCTATTGCTTGGCAAATTAAACAGATTTGCCTCTCTCTCTCTCTCTCTCTCTCTCTCTCTCATTTTATGAGTCAATGGACGTATAAGAATTACTTTTTATCAATAGAAATGCCCACGAGTGCCTTTCTTTAAAGTAATACGAGATTGGCGTTCCTTTCGGCAGTTCGATAAATCGATGCGACGCAATAATATTGCTCGGCTCAATTTTGTCTTTACAAATACAATTTGCGCAATTATGCAATAGCTATTTATCCATATATATATATATGTTTTTTTTTTTTTTTTTTTTTTTTTTTTTCATAGACGTCTCTTTCAATTTTTATATTCACTGCATTAATACTGTATTACGAGCTGGCTTACCACGTTTTTTATATACCGTATTTGATTTTCTCAAGCGTCTTATTTACTTCTGTCCTTTATCCGGATACGAACATTCGAGAACCGAAGCAACCAAACAACCAGAGCAATAATAACAATAATAGCGGAAAAGACGACAGCAATGGTAAATTGCAGTTAAAAAATATTGGATGAAATATCCAATTTGTTTGGAGCGGTGGGATAAATCGATAATATTTCACGTCCGCGGCATGCGAACCCGAGCATCGTCTGGTCGAAAATCAGAAGACTCCGCCGCAGGCCTGTTAGAGCCGACGTTTATCGCAAAGCGAGACAGTCGATGATGCGATGGTCACGTTTGGCAGAGGTGGACTTGGCCCAACACGGCCCTTAGAGCCCCGCGGCTCCTTATGAAATCGGGCCGAAGCCATGGGACGTAGGTTCGGTAGTTGCCTGTGACTGGGATTTAAAGTGGAGGTCGGCCGAGGGCGGTCTCGAGCATCTATTACTTCTGGCACTCGTCGCAAAGGAGAGTCGTCGCTCGGGAAAATCAATATGCCGCAGTCGGCGAACGAAATAATTTGCCAAATCAGCGAACTGGCTACGGGGATGGTGATGATATTATTAATGGACATTGTATGATGGGGAATCGCGATTTTTCATCGTCTTCATCTTGTATGCCATTGTATATAGATGATGACAAGTGGTATTTCGATTAGGTGGAGGCGATTTTTCAAAAAAACATTGTCGAGGCAGTGCTTATTGACGAGTGATATTTTAAATGGCAGGCACTCGGTGTTTAGTAATGGTCTCTTGAGATAAGTAATTTTAAAATTGAAATTATTCATTGTGCATTCAATGTCTGGGAAAAATAATAGTCGGCTCGTCAAGGCGGCCTGGCCAAGATAATATTTCAGCCGAGTAGAGTTATGAAATACAAATGCAGGTACTGGAGTGGCAAAATGAAAATTCGTATATATCTGAAAATGTATCCGGAATAAATTATCATGGATGCATGAATAATGTACATGAGAAATGATGCGCCACTTTATGAGAAGAATATGATAAATAGCTTTTATCGGTGAAAGCAAAAATCTTAGCATAAAAAGTATTCCGAAATGCACTTTTGACGGCTTGCGAGAAACGTGTAAGCAATTTTTAAGACAGCATTTTCCAGTCAAAGACTGCGTGTGGACCTTATTTTTTTGTCGTTTCCGCCTCTGGTACATTTTCACGCGGTTCGCGTCAGCATCGCCCTATATCGCACATAAAATTTGGATATTTTAAGAGCAGCAGAGAAGGGCTACACCCTGTTTAGTCGTCAGTCTTGGTTTCTACTTTTATTGCTTCTTTCCGCCTTATTCGCTCACACACATTCTCTCTCTCTCTCTCTCTCTCTCTCTCTCTCTCTATCTATCTTTATCTCTCAGTCTCACTATATATATATATATATACACACACACACACACACACACATATGCACATACGCCTGCATGTATGCCGCTAGTCTTGAAATAACATTCGTCAATAGGATATATGGCTGCGGATAAAGAATTATGAAATCTTCGTTTTGAGAATTAAAGCCCACATTATTTTGACGCCGATGAGATTTTTATGGCCCAAGTATTTTGTCTTTTGCTGGAAATCATTGACGATCGGCTGTCGTGGCTAGATCATTCGAAGACGACAGCAGCAGGTTTTACAGCACAATGAAATGTAACATTGATTGGAAAATTCCAAAGCTAAATCTCATCTGTATCTGGATTCTTTCATTTCTGAGCTATAAATATTAATTTGTTAATGATTTTGATTATGAATTTTTTTTTTCTTCATCCATTATATATATTACACTACCTTACAAGACCTTAATTTATAACACCAAAATAATGTAAGCGAGAATTATCATTGCTATCATCAGTCATGCAAATTGCGTATCATTAGCATGTGCAACATTACCACTATGATTATTACAAACTATAATTTTTTATTGCAAAATTATCAATTGTATACTATGGCTTATTATCGTCTTGTTTCTTAATACCACATTCATGTTTCATATTTATTGCCTTCATTTATATACTATTTATTATGGTTGATCAAGCATTATTCAAACATTTTATATGAAACTTTGGTATAACCTATCTTGCCTTTGATGTGATTTCTATTTATTTTTCAATATTCGAAAGAACAAAGTCAATACAAATTTTTATACAAATCAATATACATGCATAATCATTTTGACTATTTTGTTAAACATATCAATTTGTTATGTCATTTTACTTGACTCCAGTGTTAACCGAACCATC